CTTCAAGTATTTAAAGGGCTGTCACATGGAAGAGGGTTCTCCTGTTCTGAAGGGTGGAACTCAAACCAATGGCTTAAAGTTCTTTGGGGGACTCCATGACTGTTAAAGTGGTATAAGGGTGCTTTAAATGATGCTTTAGTTAAGATTTCTGCATTGCTGGGGGTTGGACTAGATGACCCTTAGCATCTCTTCCAACTCTACAATTCTGTGATTCTCTGAATACCTCTAGATAACAGATGAATTCTATTTAAAAACTCTCAATGTGACAAGAAAAAATACAGCCCTAGTGGTTGGATGAACTTGTCTATGACATAGGTGTGTGTGTGTAAATGAATTGGCATTAGCAGCTATGGAAAGGGATGTTGGAGGCAAAGCTCTGTTAGGAAGAGAAACAGAATTTGTTGCTATCTCCACATCTTTCTTTCTTTGACTGGGTTTCTACATTTACCATTCTTCTGACAGGCAGAAATTCAGCAGGTGGGGAGGATGTGAGTCATTGAAATTAATGTGTGTCAAGGAGATGAGTCTGTGATATTATTTACATGAATGTAGTCCTCTGCAGGCTAGATGCAGACAACAGACTGCCCTGTAAATATATAGTTTTTCTGCCACTGGAATAGAATTATTGCAGGAACAGAGATCAATTAAGTTAAGCTGCAGTTTAGCAGCCTTGCCACTCCTACCTCTTCTGGTTTGATTAGATTTAGGCCTCTTCCTAGTAAATAATGTGACACAATTTACCAATTATAATCTTGACATATTTCCCCTAGCTCCTTCTAGTCATTCAGAAAAAAAAATTTAAGCACAGAGATTACCAAACATGAACTGCAATATTGCTTAGCATTTGAAACATGTTTAAGTCAAATGGGTGCTCCTCTGATCTCAGGCACTGAAATCCAATACGGTGAATTTGATGACTCTTCTTCCCAGGTAAGTGGATACAGCACTGCAGCCTAGGACAGTGGTGAGACTTGATGCAGTGGTATGGGGAGAAGAGGGAAAATGCCCCTTTGCTATGCCATCTCCCAAGTTAGTGCAGTGAAGAGGCCCAGATTGGGACCACTGCCATCATGTGATAACAGGGCCAGCTTAGGATCCAGCAGTGGCCCAGCCGAGCCTGGCGCTCTCCTCACAAAACACTTGCCAGATATTGCCAGCAGTAGCATGGCTGCCCCACCAGTGGTGGCTGGCAGACCTTCCAACCCCCTACAGCATGACTGCCCCGTATTGCCCTGCCCATCCCACAATGTTTGTGTCTGCGAAAAAATATTAAAAATCCACCAAATTCATCTTCCATTCGGCGCATTGGCATTTTCACACATTATACTAGTATCAAAGTAAAAGCGTTGAGCTGGTTGTATATAAAACTAGGTCTTCACATCGAGATTCTTTTTGCCATTTAAACATTTGAATGGCTTGATTTGGTTTTGAAGCATGATTTCCGTGCACAAGCAGAGCTCTTTTTGAAAGCACAGGCCACATTTACTAGGATCCATACATATGGATTTTAATATTAACTTCCCAGCACTCACTGTTTGAAAAAGAATTCCCATTTTAAATCTGAAAGTTATTTTGTGGCTAGTGGAGCATTTCAAGGACAATTAAGAGACTCTCACCATTGCAAACAATGGGCTGCCTATGATGTGTGTTTGTGTGTGTGTGTGTGTGTGTGTGGAGAGAGAGAGAGAGAGAGTGAGTGCTGCAGGACTCTTCAGTAATAACCCTTTCCAAATTTTCGCCATTTCTCCATTTTCTTTCATCATTGCTTCCTTTAAGCACATGGCATAGAGATAATAACCACAGTCCTTGTCATTAGTTATATCAAAATGCAGACATAAGATGCTGGGGAGCCAGCACTTTCCAATATTTCCTTTCTTATGTTTCCCCTTTCCCTTGTATTAACAGATTCTTGCTGTAAAAGAAATTGATTCTTTGCTCCAAAGCAGGTCATTATAGCAAATGTTTTAAATCATTTGGTCCTCCTATTTGTGATATATAGACTTCACTTTAATCTTCTCTGCATTCCCAGCAGTAAAAGAAAGGCCCATAATTTTTGAAAAATGATTTTTTCTTCAATAAATTCTCTCTACTGGTAACATTACTGCTCCTATTTCTGGATTTTTTCCCCCTTTAGCTGCTGCTGCTCTTCTTATGCTTAAGTAAAATGGGTGCCTTTGGACTCCCACCGAAAAGGTTTATATTTACTTTCCCCCCATTCTTTTGCAAATGAAAGAATCCCTTACAAATGCGGAAAGCTGAATATACTAATAGGTATGACTCAAAAAGTAGAGAATGAAAAAAAGTGGGCATTATAAGAAGCTGCTCTATATGTATAGGGAACAAGGAGAAAGGCCATGGCTTAATGGCGAAGCACAGACTTGGCATCATGAGAGACCCCAGGTTCAGTCCCTGGTGGAGCAGCCACTCCCCTCCCCATGCTGACTGAATACGCAGAAAGCAGGGGGTGGGCTTATCCACTGTGGCCACCCCATATTCTTTCAGAGCACGTGGTGGTGATCTGAATGCCCCCTCATAGCATAGGCTAACACAGGGGTCACCAGTTCACACCAAAAGGAGCATTCTCCTGTTGTGTATGTGGTGCCCGTAACAGTTTGTCTGATTTTCAGATGTGCCCAAGGGCCACAAAAGGTTGGCAGCTCCTAGGTTAGTACATGTTTAGAAGGCCCATGATGAAGAGCACACAAGCAAAGCTTAAATTGCATACCCTCCAAGTGTTCTGGTATTCGAGGGACACTCCTGGAAATACAGAGGCCGTCCCGGTTTCTGATTTGATTCAGAAATGTTCCTGTTTCCCCCTTTCCTCCTCTCCATGTCTTGGAAAACAATTAAAAGTGGTTGGGGTGTGGGTGTGTGTGTGTGTAGGGGCAAAAATGGAACCCTGTTTATACTAAAAATAAAATGCCTGCACCAAATGAAGGTGACGCTGACATACAAAGCCCCTTCCTTAATGTTGAAGGAAAACGTTACTAATCCACTTCAAATTCTTTAATTGCAGTGCTTTAGCAGCCAGCCATTTCTTAGGAAACGTGTGGAGTGTTTATTGCTTTATTGTAAATGGAAATTTACACTGTCTACTCAGAAGTAAGCCACACTGTATTTAATGGCGCTTACTCTCAGGTAACTGGGTAAAGACTGGGCAGCCATACATTGAAATCCTAAGCATCCTAACCACTGAGTTCAATAGGATTTATTCTTTGTTACGTTCCTGATCAAAACTTTCCTTGATTCTTTCCCCTGGAAAACCAGTTTTCTGCTGAGAAATGGTTTACAATTACACTCCATTCATATTTCACTTCATTAATTATAATTGTTTCTCACATCAGGGTGCTTGTTACTTAACTTCCATGCACTTCTCGTTTTCATGCCTCCTGGCCCTGCATCACATCCCTGACTGATAAAATGTGTTTGCAGAACCACATTAGTGCAATCAAAAGCAGCCTGTCTTCTGATGAGGCATACCTCTAGATCGTGTGTGTGTGTGTGTGTGTGTGTGTGTGTGTGTGTTCATGTAGGAGAACCCTCCAGTTAGGATACTCTCCTGAAAACTGTTTGGAAATGGAATGGGAGCAAGGAAATAGATTCAAAGAATGAAAAACAAAACCCACATTGCTGCAGGCAATTCCTGAATTGGGGAGACAAGGAGGGGGGGAAAGTATTCTGCCTTTGATTCATGCCACAGGAGAGGTTTCCTTAATGACTGCTCTTTTTGTGCTGCCAAAGCAACATCCATTCATCAGGCTGCGGATTAATCTAGATTCCTCAAGATGAAAATCCAAGGAGGATGAAGGTTAACTGACGAAAGTGGCACATTCTGACTTGCGAAACTCTAGAACTGAGATGTGGCCAAATAATAGATCAGCAGGAAAAGGAAGCCACTTTTGCTTGGGCACAAGAAGCCTCCATGAAAATGGAGAGTTGCTTTTTATTTTAATGGTACATTTAACTAATTCTGAATTACTGGGGAACTCTCAGGGAAGTGGAGCTCAGAGCTGCATTAATACTAAATGAATTCATTGTGTTCAGTGTTATTACAGTGAATAATAGCAAATGAATTAATACGATCATGGAGCAAATAAAACTGCTGGGAAAATTATTTATACAAGTAATTATTCAGCTCCAAAGTCCCAATTTGTTTTCTGTTGTGCAATGATCCCTCCTCATTAGGGATGGAGGCTGTGATTCCAGTGATTCAAAGGGGAGAGATTGTATTACATTTCCCCATGGGCTTCCATTCAGTGGTTCATCATAATTTTTTGTGGGTTAGCAAAAACATCCTGGTGAATTGGTGGGGGCAGGCAGGGAGTGGACAGCAAGTGTCTACAAATTGCCAGAATCCATTAACTAAAGGAAAACTCTGGAAACTTCCTAAATACCAGGTTTAAATTTCCAGTTGCTCCTTTTTCTCCCACAGGTTGAGCTTCCATGCAACATCCAAATGTGGTCTTGCCCAGGTGAAGATCAAGGCCCACTGAAAGGGCCAAGTGCCAGCCCAGAACCACCAGGCCCTGGTGGCCTCTCACAGCTAGAAACACCATTGAGTCTTCCTAGTGGCAGTGAAGTCTGCAAAGAAGGCATACTTTGCATCCTCATTGTGCCATTCGGCAGAGCTTTTCTGGGCAATGTGGGGCCTCTTCTAATATGTATACTTAAGCGCAATTATGCCAAATGAACACATTTTTGCATGCATTTCCCTCTAATATAATGCATTTTTGTATATAATTTTCACTAACAAATGCATTTTTGCATGCATTTTGTTGTTGGAGATTAGACTAGATTGCAAAATTTGGAGAACTGCAGATTTGGAAGGATAGCTGTTTTGTTTGTGTGTGTTTCAGGAACTGCAAATTAGATTGGTTTGCATTAAAATGTGAACTGAACTGTATTTCTCCTCCATCTTTAGTAGCAACCACAGCCCTCTCAAACTTCTTTTAAAAAGCACGAGACAGGGCAAGGTTGTTTTACTCATTCATTCATTCATTAAATTAATATTCCACCTTTCCCCCCTCAGGAGCCCAGGGCAACTATTTTTAACAGTCATGTTTATCTGTGTGAAACAAAGCTACTCATTGCTATCTGCCTTTTTTACCTTGCTGTACCTACCTAGAGAAGAAAAGCTGTCCACAAGGATTTTGATAATAAGGCTTTGATAGAAGGGCTTTTGGGAAATCCTTATTGTCTGGGTTTTTAAAGCTGTACAGGTAATTGGTGTTTGGCAGCTTTTCCAGCTACATTTCTTTGGCTTGGCTGTGTGTTAATTACCTAAATTCACTCATTTAGATTCATCCCTGCATGTGGTTTGGCAGGGATGTGCTTTTCTAAAGACACTTTCATGTCTGTGGTTCCTCCCTGGCCGCCTCCCAGTGCTGAAAGCTGCATTTATGGCACCTTGCACCTTGAAATGTTGTTGTTTGTGTTTAGTTTGTGAGGAAAACAAATATTATGATAATAAAGAAAAAGAAAATCCTTGGAACGAATGGTGGCAACAGCCAAGCACTAAATATAAAATCAATTGGCAGAAACAGTTGGCTTCTCCTGATGTCTGTTGCAATTCTGAGGAGATAACTTGAGCACAAAAGATGTTCAAAGAAGCATTTAGGAGGTGACGAAAGGCCCATACATTTGACTGTCTAGATCAGGTACTTGAACACTATCTTCTAGGCTGACCACTGTAAGTTTATAAATCAGTAACATGAATGGAAGAATGGAAGCAACATTTTATTTAGGCAGTCTATAATTACAGATAAGAGGAAACATGTAGGCACACATTTAGGGACATCTATGAAGAGACTAATTATATTTTATATATATGAATCAACCCTGAATAATAATTTTTAAACTGAGGTGATTTCTATCAGGTCCAGGCACCAAGCTGGGATGCTTAAGCCTCGATGACTGCCTCAAAAGTTGCCAACCATAAAAATAAACCCCACAAAAGGGTTGGTGTGAATTGCCCTCATTCGTGGTGCTTTTAAATTTCAGAACAGGCCCACTGCCACCAAATATTTCCTCACCTCAATATTTTATGACCATACCTTTCCAGTACTTCAGGTTTGATATTCAAAATGACACCCTCCTCAAGAGTGTATAGCTCTGCTCTGGATGTGTTTGCTACTTGCTTAGTTTTAAATTGCCCTGAATAGCAGTTTGAGGGTCTTGGGCAGAGTTGCCTTTGCAATATTTTACTCTTTCTGCATTAGTGGTAAGAGAGAAATAAACAAATGTAGAAAAAATGGGAATGCTTCAGCTATTTTCTTTCTCTCTGTGTCTTAAATATACAAAATTGTGAAAATGTTGAACAGATAACATTGGAAGTCAGATAACATTTTAGAAAGAGGGCAGTTCTTCCTCCCCCAATTACTGATAGTGGCCATAATTAAATCATTGCTGCTTTCACCTGTTTTCCCACATTGCATTTTGCAGGTTTTCATAAGCCTTCTGCAGCATCACCAATATGGGGAAGTAAAAAGGTGCCAGTGGGCTTAGGGGTGATAACTCTTCTTCACTGCTTTTTTCATTGCCTCCCCACTCCTTTGTAACTGTGGATGCTCTATGCATGATTTAGCATTCTGGAAAATCAAGTTATTCACATTCAAGTCCTATTGCTTTTAATGTTAAGAGTTCGGCATGAGTTAGAAGCACATTGCTAAAGCTTCAAAGCTTTTGCCCTGAGAGTGGAACATGAGATGGAAAGTCCATTTTGCTTATATACTGCGCAGGCTCAGATTTATTCCATTGAAATCAGTAGGCTTAATAGTCCTTATCTTTGATTTGATTGTATCTATTGTTTGTCTCTAGATTCTAATTTAAAAACAACAACATACCACTGCTTGGGGTGAATGTGCAGGGGGGAAATCAGCAGTTGGGGAAATGGTTATGAAGCTTCCTCCTACCTACCAATTTTCTTCTGCAATTACTTCCCAGCTCTTGCATTAGAATTAGAAGGACAACACAGGGTCACCTAGAGTAGGTATCATAAAACCTTCGATACTCAGATATGAGATTTGCAGTACTCATGTGTTGAACATGTCTCAGTCACTAATCAGACACCATAGGGCAGTGGCGAAGCTGCATGCTCCGCTACCGGGGGCAGAGAGCAGGCGGGGGCATGACACGCTGCCCGGGGGCGCCAAACGCCGCCCGGAGTCATTGTGTGCCACCCGCAGGGGTGTGGCGCGCATTCTGGGGGTGTGCGCCTGTGGGGGCATGGCACCCGGTGCGCCCGGGGGTGCACAGTGCGTGTCCGGGGGCCCCACCGTGATGGCACCCTACCGGAATAGTGGTGCTGGGGGCAGTCCGCTCCGTCCGCACTCCCGTTCCTCCACCAGTGCCATAGGGAAAGTAACATGTGCCTAATAGCCTTACTATGGAGGCAGCCTTAAAATTCTGAGCTACTGTTCTGCAACATTTTTTGCTTCCTTATCTGTTTTGTGCTGAAGAAAGGCCACTTGTCAGATTTTTCCATTGCAAGTGTCAGTGCTTTGGACAATCGACTCATCTCATATACTACATGAGGTGAGGAAAGTAGAAACATGAGTGAGTGAGTCAAACTTGTGCAATCCCTGCTTTCCGGAAACCTATCAACCTTGGAATTCAACAGCATGTCCCAAGTTTCAGGTGAGATCTATTGCAAAATAGAGTAAGTTAAACAGAAATGTACCAACAAAAGCTTCTTCCATAATGTGTTGTCAACTGAAAACCTGTTAACATAGACCAAATTCTTTATTTGATGCTTCTGCATAAAGTGGATATTCACTTTACACTTTACTACAGAGGGTAGTCGGTAGTTGGGTTAAATTAATATGGAGTCCAATATTATAAATGTCAGAACTTCAAAGTTCTAGATCAGACCAAAAGTCCCTCTAGTTCAGCATCATTAGCTAACCAGATGCCTCTGTAAACCCCACAAGGAGGACATAAAGGCAATATAATTTTATTTCTGTTGCCTCCCTGAGCAGCTAGTATTTGGTGACATGTTACTTCTGGGCCTAGACATTCTGGTCTCCATGATTAGTTGCCATTGATAGACTTATGCTCCCTTTATGTTTGTCAAAATCCCCTTTCGATTTGTTTCTGAGACATATTCCCAGAATTAAAGTACTGCTGTCTTTTGGTGAGCTCAATTTATTTCCAAACTGTTCTTTAACATCACAGGAGGCCTTCTTCCATGCTGTCATTTTCCTCTATGGCTTCCAGTAAGATTTTCTGGACATAACACAAAATCTGTAGTCATCCATTCCCCCGTTTCCCCCCTGATTTGGAATGATCTCCCTTAAAGTTGTTTTTAAAAGTCAGACACAAATGTGGGGGGATTGCCATGTGGGTCTTTGTGAGTATTGAGCTTCTCCTAATATATGTACCTCCTGCCCAAAAGCTGTGCTTTCTTGTATTGACATAACAAGAATACATTCACAACTATTTCGTTATCTGAAGGAAAGTCAGCTGATTCAAACTGTAAGAACCAATCCCAAATATTATGGGCAAAAGACCATTGATTATATCTAGACAATATGTGCCAAACTGCCTTTTCCTTCCTTCCAATAGTTCTTTCAAAAGTTTATTAGATTAAGATATGTTTATTTTCCCGGGCTTATTAATTTGGCAGATGCATTTTTTTGAATGCTTCTCTTGTTTTGAATATGAACCCTTAGACCACTCAGGACGCTTTTTATGTAGCAAACAACTAATAAGTTGAACAAAAAATGGTAACACGAAAGACAGATGCTGGACTCTGAATTTATGAGACCTTGATATTTTGGTGTTTGATTTCAATATCTATTTTATATTGTTAATTTTCTGGGTTTTGTATTCGGGGTATTTTAATATATTTTTATGTTCCACCATGGGAGACCTGAGGTTGAAGGGTGGAATAAAAATTGAATAAAGAAATGTAACAACAACAACAACAACAACAACAACAACAGCAACAGCAACAACAACAACAACAATGCAGAGTTTAAAACTTCAATCTCATTTTTTAAAACAACAACAACACATACACACACTTTAAATCAAGCAGGATTAAATGTTATCACTGCCCACCTAAAATAAGGCAAGTCCTACCTCCTTTGGGAGGGAATTCCATAACCCAGGAACTACCAAAGAAAACACCTTGACCTTGTGTTTCCATCAAATGTGTTTCCATCAACCTGTCTTGGAGGTGGGACATACAACAGAGCTGCAGAAGATGGTTTCAACCTCTGGGGAAAGTTTCTTCTTTACCACCTGTTATACTACCAGTGCAGCTTTGATTTGTTTAACTGTTAATTTTAATTATCTTTAACATTTTGAAATTGTTTTATTTTTTTTACTGATACTTTTAATATTTCTTATAAGCCACTTAGAGGTTTCACTATAATCAAGTAAATAAATCATCCCCTGCCTGTGCCAGAAAATATATTCCTCTAATGAACTCTTCTTCTTGATCACTTCCAAGCTCTCTGAATTTTTTTCAGTTGCTCCCAGAGTTTTCAATAGCTTCAGGCCTCCCATGCACAGAATTGTGGCTCCATTTGCTTGATTCTGTGGACCAAATCATGGACCAAATGAAACCAGTGGGGAGATATGCTGCTAGCTTCTGTGAAAACAGAATATGTTCTCCTAGGCTGACCCTGATTTGTATGACAAGGAGCAAGTCTGAAAAGCAGAGAACAAGGGATATTTTCAAATTAACATTACAGTGGAAGATCTTTTCTTAGAAATGAATACAGTGCACTCAGTGGTTATTTAACTAGTTTGATAGACATGACAGGTTTTATCACCTATAACTAACAAGGGCTGCCTTTTGATCTCTCTACAATAAAATGCTAGACAAAGTAGCCGGTTGCCTTAACAATGTTGATTCTGCATATTCAATAAAAATGCTCCCAGACTTTCAAACATTTAGTGTGAATGTTATTTTCCCTCCCTGTAGTTTTGATACAGTACACGGGTGGTTTAAGAAGGCCCATTTCTGCTTTGCTGTAGTGTTATCATTCTTCAACGTCTTTGTCTTTACTCCTCTTAGGGAGATTTGACAATGACACAGAGATACCTATTTATTATCTATAGGGTTGTAATCCCTGTTTGGGATAGATTTGGTATGCATGATCCATACCAATGGAGGAAATGCTTTGGCATGTTGTTCTTTATGCATGAAAAATTGCCCACACCACTGCAGTGCACAGAGAAGAGTTTGTGGGCAGATAAGCCCCACAAAGATTACCATAGATAGATGAGGTTGATACTAAACTTGAGGAGCCACCACAAAGGAAAACCATTCTATGGGACCAACTATGATCTGTCCATATTTGGCCCTATTTGGACAACATAGGGGCAAAGATATTCCTCATAAATTAACTGGTGGAGGTGGGGCAAAACATGTGGACAATTGAGCTATCTAGAAATCCAACACACACGCCTGCCATTTATAGGGCTTACTCATGAATGTCAAAAAACGGCTCCATGGTTGGTATTTCCATTAAACATGTGGCTAAACCTCAGAGTGAGAACCAGGCTCTGTATACAATCCACAGTGGCCACTATGGTTGCAGTGGCTGAAGAAAGTGCTATTATGCAGGAGTGCTGTGCTGGAATTCTAGATAACCCAGCCCTCTCCTACCCCCATCACTGAGTTTATGAGAGTTATTTGTTTGATTCCCATTTTCATCATTGCTTTGGTATCCCTTTGACCTTGACCTTGCTCCCAGCACTTCCTTACCCGCTGAAATTAACACTAACCTTGGATGCTCCTGAAACGATACTTTCACTCTGAGATAGGTTATGATTCCTGTTTCGCAATCACGCTATAAATCAGATGCTTCCCCCTCCTTTTCTTTTAAATGTTTTATTGCAACAAATGTTGCTTTTTTCCCAAGGAAAAAATATAGCAGTAATAAACAAGACCTAGTTCTCTTCTCATGAAATCTCTTTTCCTGTAGAGGCTCAGCTGTTCATTACTGAGTATAGTGCTCTGTGACCATGTTTCTAGCTTAAGTAAACAGAAGGCATCTCAGTAGCCTCCCCTTCGCTCCTCTGCACTCCTTGTATTACATTAAAAAGGGGATTTTTTTGAGCTGCTGTTGAAGGAAGAGACATTCAAACTATCAGAATTTAAAATCCATTACTTTTATAGGTTGCTAGATATCTCTGAGAACTGATCACTGCCTTCATTTTCCCCCTTTAATAATGATTTTTTTAAAAAAACAACAACTACTGACTGAGGGCAACTGGAATCAATGCAACATTATAAAGCAACCAGAATGAATGATAAAAGCAACATGACTTCAGCATCTATAAGGCTTCACACTTGCACCTGCAAATTCTAATCTGCACCCCCCATGACAGAAAATGTATAAGTGTTTGGAGAACAGGGTTCTTGTAATAGTCTACTGAAGTGTTTCCTGCCCTTTGTATAGCCGTGGATTTGGTTTGTAAAGTGATGGTAACCACCTGGTGAAAGGTGTGGTGGCACAATACCAAACTAGGCATTATGTTAAAAACATGTGCACCTTTCTTTTTTTAAGAGTATGTAATGTCACTGGAGGAGGGGGAGTATAATTACTGAGGTTACAGCAGGCAGAAAGGGGGTGATTGGTGCCAGTGGGGCATGCCTTGCAATGCAAATAGCAGCTTCAAAGGAGTGATTTTCATCAGGAAAGAAAGAGGTTAAATTTCCCTTTCTCCCACTGCTGCAATCTCAGTAGATGTTAGAAAACCACAGCGCCTCTTTTAAAATGCATGTTAAATGGAAATACGCATCTAATATCACATGCAGTTTGGCCTTCAGGAGAAGAGAACTGCTTTGAGTAAAAATGCTACAGAAGCAAATATGGACATAACAAATTATACTAGTATTTATGGTATTCCTAGTATTCATGGGATTCAAGGTGAGTTGCCAGATGCTGTCCTGAGTTCACAACCCTGAAAGATACCCTGATGAAGAATGCTATGGCACCAGGACAATCTAAGCTGTGAAGTTCCAAGAAACTAGTGTGCCCTCTCTCTAGCTCTCCAGATCCACCAAAATCACCCCGAGGACTCGGAAGCAGACTCAGGACTGAACAGAAGGCCATAACAAGAGGCACAGTGCCCAGCTGGCTGTATGAGATCAGCCATGCCCAAGCCCTACTTGTGAAGACAAAGCCATGCTTTGGATATGGGATGAAGGGGTCAGCATAGCCAAATTTACAGTTTGTCAGTTGGGACCTAGCTAGTGCTGAAGCTCCATCTTATTCAGTTGTGCTCTCTGTGATGTCTTCCTGGACAGCTCCCCTTCTTCCCAGAACTCACTGATCCCTGGACAGTTCATTGGGCTCCTGGTAAGGCAAACATTCAGGCCACATGGCAGGAAAGGGGTAACAAATATAAGAAACCAAACTGCTATGTAAGAAGATAAATAATTATGAAGTTGAACACCATCTTCTCCCCGCCGCCCGCCTTCAGACCAGGTCCGGGGACAGCGGGAAGACGCGCTGCGCCTCCCCGCTGTCCCCGGAGCTTGCGGGGCTGGCAGCGGGGAGAAGCACGCGTCTCCCCGCCGTCAGCCTCCAAACCACATCGGGAGACAGCGGGATGGCGGCGTTCCGCCTCCCCGCTGTCCCCCGACCTTGTGGGGCTGGCGCTGGGGCTCTCCAGCATCCNGGAGAGCGAGAGGGGTCGGTGCGCCCCGACCCCTCTCACTCTCCAGGCTTCAGCGAAGGCCTGCATTCGCCCCATAGGACGCACACACATTTCCCCTTCATTTTTGGAGGGGAAAAAGTGCGTCCTATAGGGCGAAAAATACGGTAATTTAAAAGTAACAGCTTTCCAATATCATTATTAAACTAAAACAATTTCCAATTATAGTCATCTTATTCACTTTTCTTGACATTCTGAATCCCATTTATTTAATTATAACTTAATTTGTCCTAGGCCTATTTGTTTCTTTCAAGTAATTTCTAATTTTTTATATTACAATATTTGTTCAAATAGTCCTTGAATTTCCTCCACTCCTCTTGAAGCTCCTCTT